TTTTTTTTCTTCTGCCAACAAAGAAGGCAGCATTAATCGTTGGCTTGACAAATGAGCGCAGCAAAGGTGAAATATGACTTTCAGTTTCTCGGCTAAACTTAAGCTGGCCAACTGCATCTCCCAGTATCCATTATTTCTCGGAAAAGGGTTGCCCTGATCCAGGCTGATGTAATGTGATATTGTCACTGAGGCAGACACGCAGCACATTGTGGGCTTAGGCATTAGTCCTGGCTGCATATGCATGTCTCCCACGGAGAAAGGAGGACACTGCTAAAGAAGAACACACAGGGCAGTTTACCAGTTTACCAGCCACAAATATGTCTGTTGCTAGTGCTCCTCCTCAGTGAAAACTGTGTGGATCTCCCTTAAGCCCTTAGTCGTTGTCGTTGTCGTAGTCAGTGGTTGTCGCAGTGTCGTCCGGCACATCTCTTCAGCACTCACAGTCGCCATTTACTCTCAGCGTCCATAAATTACCAGGCGATTTGCAAGCGAGCGACAGGCGAGCAGGACACTGTGTACCACTGATGACGAGGAAACGCAATTAGGCAGATGAAGAGAAACTGGCACTTTAACGCTAGCAAGTGAGAAGATGTCCAATTTGACATCGAGGCGAGTCAACATAAATTTGAGTGGCAAAGGAAACGGCAGAGAGTGAGAGGGTAGTAGTGCATATGCGAGCAACGGTAGAGTCAGCGAATGAAGGACACTGGCTAGAAAAGCATTAGCCAAATTAAGTCAATGCTGACCTATACACGTACTTTGCATACGAAATCAGTGCACAGTCGATTCTATCAGATGGAGAGAGAGAGTAAGCGCTGCCTGGCAGTGTTTGCAGTGGCCACTGACCAAACAGACAGACAGACAGACNGAGAGAGAGAGAGAGAGAGAGTAAGCGCTGCCTGGCAGTGTTTGCAGTGGCCACTGGCCAAACAGACAGACAGACAGACAGACTGAGAGACCAAACGGAACACCGCCAGTTGTGTGGTCGGCGGCTTCGGCTTCGGCTTTGGCTCTGTGTATATTTGTCCGCTGATGCCGGCAATGAAGCGTGCAAAAGTAAATCCCAGTGCCGGTGACTCTGATCAGCAGCGGTGGTGGTCAGTGCGCCCTATGATCGCTGGTCAAATGCTGCCGATGAGAGATGGCCACTCAGTGAGCGAGTGAGTTTGTGTTGCAGCCTCAATCAGTACTCTGGTCGTGCTTTATGGGACATTTGCTCACGTGCTCTCTCTCTCTCTCTCTCTCTCTCTCTCTCTCAATTCAAAGTGATGTGACAAAATTTATGACCACTGGTCAGCGTGTTTCAGTGTGCTGCTGCTGCTACTTCAGGGCCACTGAATGAGAGACGTGCCATTTGAGGCGAGACACAGTGCAAATAGAGCCTGTGTTCCAGAGAGGCACCAGAGGCGATCAGCGATCCAAAAGCGCAAATGTAACACGTTCGAATTGACAGGTCAAACAGAGGTCTGCTGTCGTTGGACAGTGCAAACTGCAGCCCACTACCACCACCACAACCACTGAAGGGGCGTACTGCTTTGGTGATGCACCAGCAGACGAAGGCAAAGCTAGCAGTTGAGCAGCCATAATTCATTTTGTTTTATTTTACATATTCGTTTGCCAGTGTGGACAATGGACGCCCGTCCAAACAGACAAACAAATCATAAATAATCGAAATCTGTACAGTTGCTGTGAGCTGTTGCGAGAGCAGAGAAGAAGAAGAAGTTGTTGTCGTTGTCGTTGAGAAAATGGAGAGAAGTAGTTTAAGTGTATGATGAAGCGGAGAGAGAGAGAGAGAAAGAGAGAAAGAGCTGTGAAATGAGCATGACAGACTCCGTTGCTGACGACGATAGTGTCCGACGACCTACTGGACTTGATCGGCATTGTACGAGTAGTCGGCTTTGTTGTGCATGATCAATTTGTTATCCACAAAGTAGAAGCTGTCCGACTTGGTGCAATACGGATTGTTGATCATTTCAGTGCCTGAACAAGATGACGGCAAAGCAGAGACAGGTGTTAACAGTGATCAACATAATTTAAAGCGTCAAAAGTATCAACTGCCAGTCTCCTCAAGTACTTACATAACTCAGGCGTCAACAGCGGAAAGTCGTAAATGTGTTCGCAAGTGTTGGTGCTGTCGGGAATGCAGAAGCCAAAATCAAAGTCGAATGTCTTCAGTAGTGTATCACGGAAGAAGTGACGCTCAATCATTCGAAAGTTCTTTATCGCCTTACCGCCCACTTTAAACTCAACTCTTTAAAAAGCAAAACATCAAAAAAGCGATTAAAAAATTACTGCTAATCAACAACAGCAAAATCAATGCACATACGTTGCTCCGACCGTTTTCAGCCTAAGGAAACTGGAAGTAAACTTATAGCGAACATGACGACCACAGCTAGAAGATCTGCCGTCATCGCTGATTGTGGCGATGGAGGCTTCAGGCGATCGCCTCGTCGTCTCTGAAGACGATTGAGCATCTGCTTTTGGCTGCTTCCCCGCCGGCGTCGGTGATTTGACAATCTCAAAAAGCACATTGCCGTTCTCCATATTACGTATTTTAAAGCGCGTAAACTCAATGTCGTATATATTGTCTTCTGGCGAACACAGGTACCCTTTGAACAGAGACAGTTGTTTCATTTGTAAACACACAATATAACGGCAATTCTACCGCCATCGCCATCAATGTAAGTCGCTTACCTTTGGTGTACGTTTCTAAATTGCAGACATCAGCTGGGGTGATTGTTTCCTTCTTGAGGACTTCCTCTTCGCTAATTGGCTTGGAGGCATCCTTGCGCTTGCTTGTCGTCGCTGGCTTTGTCTTTTTCCCTCCTGAAAGGGTGCTTAGCTTCATTGATGAGCTCATGATTGGCTAGGAAAGTGGAGAAAGCGCGAAAGCAAGAGATTTGAGCCGTCTTGGTGAGAAATGTACAAATGAGGTTGAAGGCAACAACAGTGGTCGGATAACAGAGTGCAGCAGCTAGTGAAGTGGGCCAGCGAGAGCGCTGAAAAGTGCAGTCAAATTGATGAAGTGCCGCTA